TTTTTTTTTTTTTTTTCCCTTGAGGTTTAAAGCTCACGGTCCTGAGGCCTGAGGCTTGTTTAAAACATGTGAATATGTCCAAACACAGATTTTCTCTCAAAATGGTCACAGTCACATCGGGCTTCTCAAGCTTCTCTCGAGTGATAGAGCTGGGTTTTGACACCAACAGGGGAGCTCTCAGACAGAAGACATGACGCGATCTTCCAGGTCTAAAAACCAGGCAGATGAGAAATATTGCTCATTTAAAAACGGGTCCAAATCTGCAGCCTTCATTTCTAAAGTTTACTCTTTGTAAAGATGGCGCCATCTAGTGGGCCTTCCCTGTCTGTCCTCCCTAGTGTTCTGCTTTAATTGTCTGATTAAGATCACTCTTGTCTCATGTCCTGCTTGTGTATATAAGTCCTTCTTTTAGTCCTGTCATTTGTCGGTTTGTCTCGTTTGGTACAGTCCTTGTTCTGTCCTGTTCCAAGTCTGCACCTAGTCGTGCAAGTTTGCTGCCACATCAGCCTCTTGGTTATTATTAAAGTGTTGTTTTCTACGTCCTGCCTCCCGAGTCCTGCCTGCACTATGGGTTCTTTCCTGTCCAGCCTGAGAAAACCTTGACACTCTTGTAGATTAAGTCATTAAAGAATTAGATGATATGGGTACGGTGTTGTTGGAGGTGGATAACAAAATAAAATGCACAAACTAGAATGCAGTTTTCCAAACCACGCACAAAAAGGACACGATTTTCATAAACACGCAGCTTGTTGGTTGCTTGATCACTAATAAAACTGTATTCAGTTCAGCTGTATCTGAAAGTTTGCACATTTTATCACTAATTTGAGTTGCCACCTACTCTCCAGCTGTCGCAGCCCTGTGAGACATCACCTGTAGCTTTTCAGCGGTTTGTATGGCTGATGTATTTATTTATTTTCCTGTTTGTGTCATGCCTCAGACTCCTTCATGCTTGAAGATGTGAACGACACGGCAAAAGAGACGTGCCTTAACTGGTTCTTTAAGATCGCCTCCATCAGAGAACTGCTTCCCAGACTGTATCCCTCAACAACATCCTACAACACACACCTGCTTTATTGAACACACTGCTTTAAATCCAAACTCATTTTCATTTTCTATATCCTTTTAATTTGTTTTTGAAAAAACAAATAAGTTCATAATTCCAACAGTTAATGGCAAGATTTTGAGCAAAGACATTGTGCATTGTGTTGAACTCAAAGTATATATTGTGACAATGTCCCTAAATTGCCACACCAAATGTTAGCTCCGTATCTGTAGCATTAGGTGAGTCAGCCATTTTTGTGTTTGCTATGAATGCTTTGCTGCACTGACTATCTTAAATTGCTTACTTGAGAAATTAAACACTTGTAGATGTAACAATGTGCCAATGATTACTATTTGAAGTTTCATTAGAATTTGTTCAGTAATACATGAGGTATGTTGCTAACGATGCAAACACACATGCAGTGAACAGGCAAAAAGAAAATTACCCTATAGTTTTACAGTTTCTTCCTTAGAATTTTTTTACAGTCGAACGACATTTGCAGTGCTGGGCACAGTTCCACTGATCTACCAATGGCTAAATCAATGTTCCATTTAGCAGATTAACATTTTCGCTAACTTTGAAAACCTTTGGGAGGACTGGCTTCTGCTAAAATAAAATCCAGTAAATTGGTATATTTTTTTAAAGATAGTTGTCCGCACTAAAAGCTTAGAAGTGAATGGTGGTTTACACGGAGCTATGTAGAGGTAATTAAAGCTAAATGCCACCTGGTGATGCCCCCACCCTCAATGCTTTTACCCTCATACGTACCACAAACGGTCTCTGTCTCACATTGTCAATTTACAGCCAATAACAGACTGTCATGAATGGTAAATGAAACCAGAACAGGTAAATAACATGAAAACCCCATTTTCACACTCAGAAACATTGTAAACGGTCAGAAACATTGCAGACATAACTCCTACTCAGCATGCTTTGCAATGCTCACACTGTCTCTGGGACGGGACTCTAACACATTTTACACATCTTTACTTTAATACAAGCAGATTTATTACAGAGAATATTGATGATGATGCACAACAACTTTGTAGTTAGTTTATAAAAGTAGTTAATCACAAAGAGGATCTCCAAAGTGAATTAATTAATTTTAGTCAATGACACAAGGGAGACGTCTGACAGACATTGAATGCATCACTCTGCTTCAGCACAGCAGAGTTCTGCTCCACCTCTTTGGTTCTGATGGACCAGATTAATTCCTGAAAGTTCACCTCTGAACAGGACATGGACGATTCACTTGTGATTTATGAACCGTTTTGAGTTGCGTTCACTTACAACATTATCACGTTACAGTCTTACAGTGTCAGCGACAGCATTGGATGATAAAAGTTAGTGCTTTAGTGTTAGCTTCCAATATTTTTAAATCTGTTTAGTGGTTTAGCGTTAGCAAAGCTAATTTTTAGTTATCAAATTAGCAGTTAGAGAAGCTAATGTTTTGGTTAGCTGTGCCCACCACTGTACGTTTGTATACTTTGCACTAGTTTAACCAACCGTTGGTTTCAGTTGGCTCATTTTAGCTTTTAGCTCAAGTTTTGCTGATTTCAGCTAAAAACCTCTGCTTTAGTTTCAGTGGGGGAAGCACGGTGGCACAGTTTGTAGAGCTGCCACCTCTCAGCGAGCAGGTCGCCCCTGTTCAAATCCCAGCTGGGGGTCTTTCTGGGTGGAGTTTGCATGTCCTCTCCGTGCATGTGTTGATTTTATCGGAGTACTCCGGTTTCCTCCCATAGACCAAAAACATGCATGTTAGACTGATTGGTAACTCTAAATTGTCGAGAGAACAAATGGTTCGTCTCTGATGGACTGGAGACCTGTCCAGGTGTCCCCTGCCTCTTACACAGTGATGGCTGGACATGGGCACCATTGACCCCCCCCGTGACCCGAAAAGGATGAAGTGGGTAAAAATGATGGATGGATGGATGGATGGTTTCAAGTCCTTCAACTAATTTCAGTGGTCATTTAGCACTCATCCTTCAATGTTGTGATTTTAACATCTGAACACAGATATGTTGAAGCGGCCATCCTTAAGTGCAACCGTTTCCTCAACACCTCGTAAGTCCTGACAATTTTTCCTTCCTGGCTGCTTCTTTAGGTGTGATCACATTTCATTGCCTTTTTTTTTCCTCAGTGGAATCCAGGAGACTCTTCTTCGCCTGACAGCCATGATCAGAGGGGTTGGAGATCCTCTTGTTGCTGCTTACGCCAGAGCTTATCTCTGCAGGGTCGGCTTGTTTGTTCAGTTTTCTTTCCTTCCACTCTTCCCTTCTTTCAGCCTGTAACTGAACCTTGTTTTGTAATGTAGGTGGGCATGGAGGTGGCCCCTCATTTGAAAGAGAGCCTGAACAAGAACTTTTTTGACCTGCTCACCACTTTCCAGCAGATAAGTTGTGAAAGTGTCCAGAAGCATCTGGTTGTGCAGAGGGTGGAGGTGCCAGAGTACCTGACCCTGTACTCTCCTGCCATCAGCTGGATCCTGCAGTGCATCGCCTACAGAGCTGCAGAGGTTTTCACTCACAGACACTCAAATATCCGCTGAAGTTCAGCCTGACGAGGAACAAACTGATAATAGTGTCTTTTCCTCCTCCTGTGTTTAGTCACTTCTCACAGAGATGATGGAGCGATGCAAGACGCTAGCTAATAAGTAAGTGGATTTAACTAAAAACGTTAGCTTTTTCTACTTTTACTTTCTTTATATCAGAATTTCCCTGCAGTTTCAGACTTAGCATTTGTTGTGATGAAATTAATTAATTAAAAAAATTACAGCCATTATCAAGCGTCTGTGAGTGTCCAGAATGTTTATAAATCTTGTATACCTATTGTTTGTTTTTTGTTTTTTTAACAGGACCTCTTTTTTTAAGTGTTTTAGAAATATTTTTTAATGTTACACATTAACACAAACCAAAAACACAGAAACAATCATGTGTATGTGGAGGGGCATTATTTGCAATAATCTCAAAATCTTTTCACACTGTCATATGGGGGTGTTGTGTGTAGAATTGTGAGGAGAGATTAATTGGTACAATTTGTAATAAGGTGGTGGCCTAAAACGTGGAAAAAGTGTGAATACTTTCGGGATGCTCTGTGCATCCTTGACTCCTCGTTCAGTTGTTTCCATGGTCTTGTCAGAAAGAGCCAGAGTTCTGCTTCAAATCCTGATGTCCAAACCCTCCAGGCACCCTAACCCTAACCCACTCCATGGATATGCTGCTCACGCCAAGGACCTCAACCAGCTGCCACTACCAGATAAATCATCATGACCTCACTCAAGGAAGCTTTGTTCATGCTGAAAACCCTCCATGACCATGGGCCATGTTCTTCATACACATCTGAAGATTTCTTCAAAACCCTGAATCACCACCTAGGCTCAGGCTGTTTAGTGCTATGTAGCAGGTTCACCTTTTGATAGGTTGTCTTCTTAGAGGTTTTCTGACTGTTGTTTTATTTGTTTGTTAGGAATTTTTTTAAATTGATAAGACAGATATTCCTGTTTTTGTGCAGTGCCTTGCTCCTGAATTCAGTCATGAGGGCGTTCAGACCAGAGTTTGTTGCAACCAGAGCCACTGACTTCATCAGTATGATAAAAGACTGTGATGAGTCTGGTTTCCCAAAGGTCAGAGGTCATGATTTTATTTAACTCGCATTTCCTTTCAGAGACTCTTCATGTTTTACTTTTAACTCTGTCCCCTGTAGATCCAGTCTTCAAACTGTACAACCTTAGTTCTGAAAGGTTTGGATGCTGTGTAAAATGTAAATCAAACATAATGCAATGATTTTCATATCTTACAACATATTTTATTTGCAGTGGAACATGTGGAACATGCATAACATGTTCCACATGTTCAACATATCAAAGATTTAAACCAAGAAATTGTACAATTTTTAGAGAAAGTGTTTGGACCATCTTAAATGAAGACACAGGCAAATAATGAATTAGACAAAGGTTTAGTTAAAGATACAAGAAGAGAGGGGTGGAACAGAGGTTAGAGACTGCAGACCTGTGATCAGGAGGTCGCAGATTTGAATCCCTAAAAATTTTGGAGTGAAATGTGAAGTTCCCACACTTGCCTCCACCCTCATTTGTCCTACTCTGATCTATTGGGGAAGGCTCCCCAACTGCCTTGGATGGCAGCCCTCTGCTCCACACAGAGGGTTACGATAGCTCGGTGGTCACGTCAGGAAAGGCATGGCCTGTAGAAACATCTGCCAAGTCTTCACGTGAGTTTGCTCCATGTGGTTTCCTCCTGAAGAAGGGAACAGACAGAAAAAAAAAAACATGCAAAGAGAGAACCACCTCTCTGGAAATCAATACAAGGATACATTTCTTTATTCGTTCTCATCACCAAGACAGCCAAGAGATAACACTGAACTCTTACATAAGGTTTAACAGTGCATATCCTGATGCATGCTCAATAATCCAGGTAGAAAAATCTAAAAAAGTTAAATCTGGTCCTCTGGACATTCAAAAAACAAAACAAATTAAAAAAAAATGTAGAAATGTTTCGTCTTCCATCCGAAAGACTTCCTCAGTCTGAGGTGCTGTATTCAGCTCAGTCTTATAAATAACACCTTCTCAGAGTGGATCAACCAGTTTTGCTGCTGACAACCAAAATCAGCTGCTCACATGCTCAAGAAGGACCATCAGCCTAACAATGGATCATTAGCACCCTGATGGCTGTTTACTATTCAGAGGGCTGAGTGATACTAGCAATCACAGCATTGTAAGAGGGGGACAATTGAACACGTAGGCCTCCACCCCTGTTTAATGATGGACGATTTCTTTTCACAAAGATGGCCTCCTTTACTCCTCTCTCAAACCATCGTTCCTCTCTGTCCAGGATGTGAACATCTTCATCCCTGAAAGAGTGACCGCTGGCCTGGAGATGAGTGTAGACCGCAGAGTCCTGGCCTGATGTTGTTGATCTTCTGTGATGGGCCATCCTTTTGGCCTGTGGCTGTTTAGTTTCCCTGATGTAAGACTGATCACAGCCCTCCTGACACTGAACAACATACATAATATTACTCTGTTTGTGCCGGGGGACAGGATCTTTGGGATGAACCAGTCTTTGCCGTAATGTATTTTGGGGTTTAAAAGCCACTGGGACGTTATGTTTAGAAAATAAACATCTCAGTTTCTCTGATACTCCCTCAACATACGGAATGACCACTGGTCTGGGTTCCTCCTTTTCACCTGTTGGCTGACTGGAGTCCTCTTTGGGTTTCTTCTCTGCTTTCGGGAAGGCCCAGTTAGGATATCCACATTGCTCTAGAGCCTGTCTTGTGTGGGATTTCTCCTTCTGCCTGGCTCCTGAGCTAGTGGGGACGCCGTCTGCTCTGTGATACAGAGTCCTGATGACTCCTAACTTGTGCTCCAAAGGGTGATGAGAGTCAAACTGCAAATACTGGTCTTTGTGGGTGGGTTTGTGGTACACCTCAGTTTGCAAATGTCCTCTATCAGAGACTGAGACCTCACAGTCCAAGAAAGCCAACCTGCCATTTTTTACATCTTCTCATGTGAACTTGATGTATTTATCCACAGAGTTGATGTGGTCAGTAAAATGTTGGACTTCCTGGGATTTAATTTTAACCCAGGTGTCGTCAACATACCTGAACCAATGACTTGGTGGTGTCCCTGAAAAGGACGTCAAGGCTCTCTTTTCTACCTCCTCCATGTACAGGTTGGCAACAATAGGAGAAACTGGAGACCCCATAGCACACCCATGTTTCTGCCTATAATATTGCTCCCCATATGTGAAGTAGGTTGACTGCAGGCACAGTTTCAAGAGTTGACACAGTTGTTCTGTGGAAAGCGTGGTCCTGCTGCTCAGAGTGGTGTCTGGTTTTAATCTTAAACTGACCACCTCTACTGCATCATCAACAGGAATGCACGTAAAGAGTGATGTGACATCAAAAGAGACCATTGTTTCATCAGTCTCCATGATGAC